GAAGAATCGTCTCGAGTTTCGCAGAAAACAAGCGACGGTGTCTTCTTGAGCAAAATTTTCCAAAATTTTCCAAAATTTGTAAATTATTTTGTATTATTTATTCCGTTTATACGACTCACTCGACAAAATCGGTACAATATCGGTTATTGCTGGCGCGTCTATCGGCGAAACTCGATCTCTCGTTTTCGTCCGATCAGGCGAAGAACGTTGCTAATCACGCGGCGAAATTTACACGCGGATATCGAGAAAAGTTTGGAACGGATGTTGGAAATTTTCGAGGGGATGTCACGTTCGCCTCTTGCCACAAGCCTCGCCAAATCGTTTCGTAACAAGCGCTTAAAGTAACGAGAAATATATATATATAAAATAGGCGAAAGGTGAGAAAAGTTTCATTCTCCATTTTACATTTCTTTGCGAGAAGACACAGGACGAGTATTCGAACTACGGATTGATGAAAAAGCTGTCGAGACAGGAACAGGAAGGATCTTTATAATCGCGTACTACGAAATAAGCCAGAAAAATATAATTAATAAATGTATTATATATATATATGCATATAAATAAATTGATGGAATTGATTGCAATTTCTGCGGGTTAATAAGAGTCGTCCTCGTGAGGAGGATCGTGAAGTGAAATTAAGAAACCGGTGGGAGGAAGAATAATGGGAGGGGGATGGGAACGAGGACAGGAAGAAACGGGGTCAACACCGAGAGCGCATCGAGAAGTGGAGGAAGAGTTTTGTGGGACAGGTCAGGATGCGTCCATGACTCGAATGACGGTAACGATTTCGGTTGTTATCTGTTGTAACCAGATCGATCTGATCGAAATCATGAATAATTAATAAATATCCCAACGAAATCTTTTCCAATATTTTGGATAATAAATATTCATAGTATAATATTATCGTTGTATTATTACATCCGATGTCGCGTTTAATATTTAACGTTTAAAATGTGTTTTAAAATGTTCTGAATAGTTTTACTCGTCACTCTTCTATTCTCTTTTTATTTTTTCCTTCTTTTTTGCAAAAATAATCGATTATTTGTCTCGATATAAACGTATAATGAAAATAAAACACTGGCAACACTTGGATCTCGTTAAATCAAATCGAATCTTGAATTATCTTCACCAGCGTATGTTTACCGTAAAAATAGATCAAGAATAGAAGAAGCCTTGAAGATGAACTCGTGTAACCAATAGTATAATTGATTAAGGAAAAAAGACAAGAAAGATTATTACATCCGTTTTATCGTTTCATTAAAACGATAAAAATTGCCGATCGATGGAGTCTCGCGATTTTTTTTATCTCGAGATAATAGAAAAGGATTCTGAATTTTTCCACATACGGAATAAAAAAAATAAGAAAAAGTATTTTCTTTTCCTTCGAAAATTTCGCAAAATTGATGTTCGATCGAATATCGAATTTATACGAAATCGTGATCGTTTATCACGAAAGGAAGCATTTGGCGATAAATCGCGATCTGCAATTGATTGGAACGATTACACCGATAACGAATGAAGAACGATAGTTATCTTGTTCTTCGAGAAAGAACTTGTGATAATTTTTTTATTTTATCCTATTTTAAAACAAGGAGGATTATTTCTGCTCGATCTCGTTTCGAAAGGAACGATGGCTCCATACTCTCTCGCATAATGGTTCGAATAATAAAAAGCTAATAAAATTATTCTTTCTCCTTTTGAGCTTGCACGGAGATTTAATTTTTAGAAAGCAGTGCCGCTTTTAATTGTAATTTATTCGGATACGTTATTAAAAAGAAAAATTAAAAATCTCTCGTGTTTCAGAGATCTTGAAATCGCTGTGCAACGACTTCCTCCCGAAAAACGTGTCGGCCATCTTGTACCTGATGAACTACGAGACGTACGGGCGCAGCACGGCCAGTGCCCAATACTTTCTCCAGCTTGCCGGTTACTTGGGGATTCCGGTGATCGCGTGGAACGCGGATAACTCGGGATTGGAGAGAGTGAGTGAGATGCAAATATGTCCTTTCCCTTTTTCCACAGAAAAAGAAGGAGAGGAGAGGAGAAAAAGTACAGTGTTTTAACAAAATTCTTCTCCGATCTCGTATACTCGAAACGAGCGAAGATGGAAAATAAAAGCTTTCTGCTTTAGATTTTCGGGTGGAATTTCTCCCGAATTGTTGCGTTTCTCGATATTTTTACGTCGTTTCGAGTTTGTCCATTTCCTTGTTTCGTTCCATTCTCATGCGATATTATTCGTACGTGTATATTTTTTAATTTAGAAGAATTCTAGTAGTTTTATTTCTCGTTATTATTTGATTAATATTCGATATAGATGGGCAAAGTTTAATTTGCTTCGATGAGTTACCATTCAATTGTAGTGGATCGATTAGTTTGCTTTTTTAACGAGTCAACGTACAAAGAAAAATCTTGGATCGATTCAGAGGTTCAGTTTATATATGTAAAGGATTCATTATTTTATATATTTATGTGTGAATTGAATAATCATCGTTTCTAACCGCATAATGGTTCGAATAATAAGAAGCTAAATTATTCTTTCTATTCTTTTGAGGAAATTTCCTTACACGGAGATTTAATTTTTGGAAAGCAGTGCCGCTTTTTATTGTAATTTATTCGGATATATTATTAAAGAAAAATTAAAAATTCAATCAGTATAGAATAAAAAGAAAATACATAATCAAATATTTGTGATTCGAACCCTTAAGTAATCATGCAAAATATCTACAAAGCAGATGTATTATAATTAATTTGAAAAGCGCTTCGAATTTGACAAACATGCGATAAATCAAACCTTGAGAATTGGAAATGGTATTTTAAAGAAACGAATGTGAAATTATAATTAATATGAATTACTTAACTTCAAATTTAATTTACAAAAAGAAAACAAGAAACTTATTTAAATTAAAATAGATTTTTCGAGATCCGTTATAAAACTGAAATTTAAATTCTTCTTGATAATCGTCCATCTATATAAAAAAAAATACTTTAAAATTTTAACATAATTCTTACACATGGAACCAATTATTTTTCGCGTTATTCCACTGTGCGAACCACGTAAAACAATTTATTTCCTTATCCTATATTATTATAATTAAACATTTCCTTATCTTCTTTACTTCCCCGAGTAAACTTCTCCCCACGTCATTTTCGTGTCATTTCCTCGCGTTCGTAATTGGATGTGGAATGGCGTCGTTGCAGAGGGCGTCGCAGAGTAATCTGCAGTTACAGCTGGCGCCATCGTTGGAGCATCAAACGGCCGCCATGCTGAGCATCCTCGAGAGGTACAAGTGGCATCAATTCAGCGTGGTCACCTCGCAGATAGCTGGCCACGACGATTTCGTGCAGGCGGTTCGCGAGAGAATATCCGAGATGCAGGACACCTTCAAGTTCACGATATTGAACGCGATCCTGGTCTCAGATATGCGCAATCTCATGGAATTGGTGAACAGCGAGTCGAGGGTGATGCTTCTATATTCGACCAGGGAGGAGGCGATCGATATATTGGACGCTGCCCACGATTACAAAATCACGGGGGAGAATTACGTGTGGGTGGTGACGCAGAGCGTGATCGAGAATCTCCAGACGCCCAGCCAATTTCCAATCGGAATGTTGGGTAAGCGAAACTAGAGATTTTATTATATATATATATATATTAAGTAAATAATAATCGAAGAAGAAGTGTGTCGAGAAATTTTTCAGATCTGACAAAATTTTTAAATTTTAAATTTCCACTTCATTTTTTCCCGCCCATATAAGATAAACAGAACTCGATTATCGAGATGATCCCTTTCGCGAAAAGATCTCCGCTGGAGCGTGTACCGTCGAACGACGTGTTTCCGTCGAAAACAGAATTCCATGAATTTATTTTCCCTTAGAAGGGTGGCGACCCAGAACGATGGAATCTCCAGGAAGGCATCAATTCCCGATTTCCGTGATTCTTACCTTCCTCCTCCTTTTCCTTCTCGTTGAATCGCCCTTTCAATAACTGCCCACTCGAGGCATCGTGAAAATTCTATTCTGGAAAGAGAACCGAGGAAAAATTTCGAGTACGAAATTATTATATGAATCAACGTGTTGAAAATATTCTTTCATCGATCGTTTTTCTTCTCTTTCTTCTGTATCTTCTTCCATATCTCTCTTGCATACGTTCGATTTATAAAGCCGTTTATGCAAAATCTTTTCCATCTTTCGCACGAATAATAATTAAAGAGGGATTAAAAATTTCCTTTCAATCTTTCTCTCTCTCTTCATCTCCTTTCCACTTGATTTATCCCCTAATACTTTTCGAGATATGGATGTACATCTCGAGCCTATGTAATGCTCGAGTGACAGAGAGCTTCTTCAATTCAATATTTTCACGCGAAGAAGAAGAAGAAGAAGGAGAGGAGGAGGATATTCGTGTTGGAACGTAAAGCTCTCCTCGAGGGGCGAAAATACGAAAGGAGGAACAAAAGGAAAGGAAGGAGAGGATTGCTCGCAAGAGATCGAGGAAGCTAGGAATATTGACGAATATTCCGCCAATTTTTTACTAGCGTCCTATTTGTACCTGCGAACTCATCGATTTCCAAAGCTTTCTCCCCCGCAGCTAACGCGCACAGGGATATCGTGTATCATCGATATCGAAGCCAGAGAATGGAAACGGAGGAGCTCAACCTCTAGATGTGAATAAAATATTCGAGGGGAGGGGGAATTCGTTTTGGAAATACGACTTTTCGAGATAAAAAGGAAAAGAGGGGAAATTCTTTAAAGCTAATGGAATTAACAAAATCATCGTGTCGATATTTTCTATTAATGTAATTTTTGGAAAGAAAGCTGTAATTCGTAAATTCTCATGATGATTTAAATAATCTTTCACAACATCAATGTTACGTTTATATGTAAATTATAATACTATGTCAAAGGGAGGAAGAAAACAAGTTTAAGTTTTTCGAGGGTATTTTTGAATGTTTGAATACTCGATCAACGAGATTGTTTCGGAATTTTAATTATTAATATTTTAATTATTAATATTAAATATTATATAAATTATAACACTACATCAAAGGGAGGAATAGAAAACAACAAAATTTAAGTTTCTCTTAAGGGTATTTTTGAATACTCGATCAACGAGAATACTCAATTATTTCGGGAAGAATTTTAATTATTAATATTTTAATTATTAATATTAAATATTATATAAATTATAACACTACATCAAAGGGAGGAATAGAAAACAACAAAGTTTAAGTTTCTCTTAAGGGTATTTTTGAATACTCGATCAACGNAGAATACTCAATTATTTCGGGAAGAATTTTAATTATTAATATTAAGTATTATATAAATTATAACATTACATTAAAGGAAGGAAGAAAACAAGTTTAAGTTTTTCGAGAGTATTTTTGAATGTTTGAATATTCGAGAATACTCGATTGTTTCGGGAAGAATTTTAATTATTAATATTTTAATTATTAATATTAAATAGGAAATAAATTATAACACTACATCATAGGTTGTTTTTGAAAACAACAAAGTTTTAGTTTCTCTTAAGGGTATTTTTGAATACTCGATCAACGAGAATACTCAATTATTTCGGGAAGAATTTTAATTATTAATATTAAGTATTATATAAATTATAATACTACATCAAAGGAAGAAAGAAAACAAGTTTAAGTTTTTCGAGGATATTTTTGAATATTTGAATACTCGATCAACGAGAATACTCGATTGTTTCGGGAAGAATTTTAATTATTAATATTAAGTATTATATAAATTATAAAACTAAAAATCAAAGGAAGGAAGAAAACAAGTTTAAGTTTCTCCAGAGTATTTTTAAATACTCGATTGTTTTGAGAAGAAATTTAATTATTAATATTTTAATAATATTTTAATTATTAACCCTTTGCTCTCCAACGGTGACTCTCCGCCATCACTGGGATTGTTGCATCAACTTAAACGGCAACAATATTTATTTATAATAGCTTCCTAAATCCTTTATATATAATCTTATAAAATATAATCTTATCTTATGGTAATCTTATGAAGCCACCGAATGCNATATTTTAATTATTAACCCTTTGCTCTCCAACGGTGACTCTCCGCCATCACTGGGATTGTTGCGTCAACTTGAACGACAACAATATTTATTTATGTTTGATTCTTTTATATCGCTTCATAAATAGATTCCTAAATCCTTTATGTATAATCTTATGAGATATAATCTTATCTTATGAGTAATTATCTTATGGTAATCTTATGAAGCCACCGAGTCTGAGTCTGAGTCTGGAGTTGCTGGTTCGACCGAGCGAAGCAGGCCTGGAATGCAAAGGGTTAATATCAAGTCTTACATAAATTATAACACTACATCAAAGGAAGGAATAGAAAACGACAAAGTTTCTCTTAAAGGTATTTTTGAATACTCGATCAACGAGAATACTCGATTGTTTCGGGAAGAATTTTAATTAAATCCATTGGAACGAATTCCTGTCCTTCCTTATTTTCCCCCTCAGCTTCCATTCACCGAAATGTAATTCCACTTGTGAAAACTGTTCTCGAACGAATGTATCTCTCCTCCTTTCCCTTTTGATTGTTCAGGTGTGCATTTCGACACGAGCACGGAAAGTCTGGTGAACGAGATCACGACAGCAGTGAAAGTTTACGCGAACGGAGCCGAGAATTTCTTGAACGACCCGGCGAACAAGGATCACACTCTGAACACCAAGCTGAGCTGCGAGGGAAGGGAATCCAGGTGGAACACCGGGGATCTGTTTTTCAAGTAAGACAAACGAATCTCGATCGATTTTCAAAAAAAAAAAAAAAGAAAAGGAAAGGAAAAAGAATTCGATCGAAATTTGAAAATTTGATGATAGTACGAAAGTAACAAGTGAAAATTTATATATTGGACGATATATTCGATTAAATTAGATTGGAAGATATGGTAATCGCGTAACATTTTGATAAATCGAGTTAATATTGGTTAAAAATTATAATTCTCTCTTTTTCTATTGTTTATCCGAGTCACGATTCGATTAATCGTAAATTAATCGATGAATTTATCGAAGATAAAGAGTCAAAGAGAGGAAGAAAACGACAAGTTTAAGTTTCTCGAGGGTATTTTTGAATATTCGATTGTTTCGGGAAGAATTTTAATTATTAATATTAAGTATTATATAAATTATAATATTACATCAAAGGGAGGAAGAAAACAAATTTAAGTTTCTCTAGCGTATTTTTGAATGTTTGAATACTCGATTTCGATGCGAATAAAATCAAAATTACGGGATAGGATGTGAATAAATTGATTAAATTCTTGCAAATTCTTGAAATTATACATTTTTCAAAACGAGTTGTTTCGAAATAATTTCCTTGATTCCGAGAGGATCCTTGAATTATTCATAGGGGAAAAGTACAATATAAGTAAATCGTGCGATCAACGTTTATTTGATCAAAAGATTAGAGGATCTTCGAGTGGAATTATTCATAAGGAAAAAGTATAATATAATAGTATTAACTTAAATAATATACAATAAGTATAATATAAGTAAATTCATTTGATCGAGAGATCAGAGGATGTTTGAATGGAATTATTCGTAAGAAAGAAACATCTAAACTCGTGCATTTCTGTTTCCTTCTGACGAAAAGAAAATTCTGGAAAATTCTGGATATAATTTGATGAAAACTACATCATCATCGTCGTGCAGTTTTCAAAGGAGAATTTCCTCTCCAGGTATTTGAAGAACGTGTCCGTGGAGGGGGATCAAGGGAAGCCTAACGTCGAATTCACCCAAGATGGCGTTCTGAAGTCGGCCGAACTGAAAATCATGAATCTTCGTCCCGGGTTGAGCAAACAACTTGTTTGGGAGGAGGTGAGTGAAGCAAAACAAAAAACATCTCCATCCTTTCTCGCCATCCACGGAATTATTCCCTTCGTCCTTGCACGAGTTTTTCGCGTAGATCAGCGAAAGGAAAGCAAAACGTGGAAACCGAACGATAGCAAAGAATCCAAGTTGAAAAATATTAGTTTCTCTTAAAGGATTCGAGGAAACTTGGAAGGGAAACGAAAACTGAGAAAAAAGAACTCGAATTCCGACATTGGAAGAAAGGAAATTTAGAGAGACTTCATTATTACGAAGAATCCTTGACTTTCTATATTACATCATCGTGGTCATCTTATTCTATTTTGTTATTTTACAATGATTTATTCTGCTTGTAATCTCCTTTAAAAATATTCAATCCAAGAAAACGAAAAAGAATTCGATCCTTGCTCGAACACGATACACCCTCGTTTCCCTGTGCAATTATCTATCGCAATGGCGCTTGAAAATTCATTCTCCCCAATGACGAAGACGCTTAACTGTTGATCGATCAAATATATGCTCGAGGATCCTCGAGGACGATCATACAACACGATTTAAGAAATCGAAATCGAAGCGTAACACTCTCCCTTCTTCGATCGAATCTCCCCTCGTGAAGAACGGTTCCATCGATCTTAATGAGAATTTAAACAACTTTTATTCCTTTAAACATGCATACGGGGATCCCGTGAATCGATGCGACAAATCGTTTCGATAACAAGGGAGGGTAGGAGAGAGAGGATCACGTCAAAATATTATTACACGCTGGTTTGGATTCACGAAGGGGAATCGAGGTTTCACAGAGGGGAAAGTTCGTTTTCTAATGGATGCATTTGACGTTTAATTAACGTCCGGCTTCCTATTGATCGAGAGCATACGCCCAACCGGCCCCCGTATCGATTCTCGATTCGCGCGTTTTCGCGGGTTCACGCGCCAATTGTCATTCCCGTTACGATATAATGACATTCCCGATGCAAAGAGGATCCTGAATTGAAGCTCGAGTTTCGATCGAGATGCTTTGGCGCGACATTAACGGAGATAGTAGGAGTCTTTATCGTCTTTTAGAAAATTTTCCATCTTTCGTTTGAGTAGATTTAGAGTTTTAGTAGAAATTGATAGATAATAAGTAGATTTTACATCTTTCAGAAGTGTAGAAGTTTTTCACGTTTTCAATTTGATTAGGGGATGGTAGAAATCGATCGATTTGTGTAATAAATAGATTTTAAATCTTTCAGAAGTGTAAAAGTTTTTTACTTTTCCAATTTGACTAGATTTAGAGGATAGTAGGAATCGATCGATTTGTGTAATAAATAGATTTTACATCTTTCAGAAGTGTAAAAGTTTTTCACCTTTCATTTGACTAGATTTAGAGGATAGTAGAAATCTTTGGATTGATTTGTGTAATAAATAGATTTTAGATTTTTCAGAAGTGCAAAAGTTTTTCACTTTTCCAGTTTGACTAGATTTAGGGAATAGTAAAAATTGATCGATAATAAATAGATTTTATATCTTTCAGAAATGTAAAAGTTTTTCATC